GTCTTGACCATGTCTACATGCCTAAATGCACTGAGTTGCCGCCATGTGATTGGCTGATTAGAAATTAAGTGTTAACGAGCAGTTGGACAGGTGTACCCAATAAAGTGGCCGGTGAGTGTACATCTAGGGGCGTCAAAAAGTGCTGTGCATCAGACGCAGCACGCTTTCAGATTTTGAGCATTTGACACACATACAGAGCATCCAAAACAGCAGATGCTGGAGTTGGAAAATTTGAACTTTTGCAGCTGGATGCAGAGCATCAACCAATCAGAGAGACTTCGCTGTGTGACGTAGTGACGCACTTTTTAGACGGGGAAGGACCAAGACCTCGGAAAGTCTCCTGAATGATGCCCACTAACCTGACACAGATGGACAGGAGGTCTACAGCTGAAATCAAGCGCCTGTAGTTGGTGTTCTGACATCTGCTCATCAAACTGGGCTTAGTTGAGACTAAAATAGAACTAAAAGCGACTCTCATCAGCTCCCAGGTCCTCGAGTGGTGAAACTCAAACTCAGAACTCCTCTGAATTATCTGATGAATCCAAACACGGTGCAGAGTGCCTGATGATGTTCTCTTGCTTTCAGTAAATAAAGCTGAGCCACTCTCTCACTTTCATCCACCAAAGAGACAGAGAAAACAATCCAAAGTCTAGAGGCTCCTACAAACAAGCATCTTTCCACACTTTGCTCAGATGAGCAGCTAGAACGATTTTGACGCTTGATATCAAGCGTCAAACTTGAGGCGTTGGATGTATTTTTGACGCTCAAACAAGTTTGGTCTGAACGCAGCACTAGATTTTAAATAATGATTTTCTCGTGTTGAGTTTTGTTGATTCATGTAGCTCTTATCTGTGAGCTGTATGGTAATAAATATGTGTCAGTTGTGAAGGCCGTACTTTCTATTGAGGGTACAGCCTCACCCTCTGACTTCTATCTTGGATGATGGAAGTTAATGGATCATTGTTTCTGTAGATGTAGAACATTGGATCACAATTATTTTCTGTCAGGAAACAAACTTTGTCACCCTGGACCTTCTGGCTGAGAGACATCAGTGCTTCCCACTGATCCATCGTGTCGTAATTTAACGTTTAAGATTTATTTAAAATCTATTTTATACTAAAAAAATAAAACATATGTTTTCACATCAAGATATGCGAGATATGTTGATTTATGTGGTGCTCCTTCAAGGCCACTAAATTCTTTTAAAAAAATTTAGGAACTCACTGGCATCCCCCCGACACCTCACCTCACTTGGCGTAAACACAGGAAGATTTAACACCATGCAGAAAGACATGTTTACTAAACATCTGCAGCTGATTTAGAGGAAATGAGAGAAGAGGATAGTTTGGTGAGTTACCATGGCCAGATTAAAGACACCTCCCACTGGGCCCAGTGTGCATGCCTCAGCAACCAGCTGCTCTGTTCCCTTCAGTGTGCCGACGTCACACGAGGACACCAACACCTGAACACCTTGATGCTGCCACTCATGAACCCGTTTAGCCTGGTATCCTGAAGAAAAAATATATAACAAGTTAAAGCTACATCCCTGAACTCTAACAGAAGATATGAAGCATCCACTCTGATCTGTTTAACAAATATACACATTATTAATAATAACTAATGTTTCCTGCAGTACTCTGGCTGCTGCCTCTGATGCCACAGCTTTGACCTCACATCAGTGAGAAGTGGTGGAGCTGGGACATGATGCTCAGAAAACTGCTGCTGCTGTGGTGTAATCTCAGAGTTAGAACCCAAGGTTAAATTTAAGATTTTTTAATGCCAAGTGAAATTAAATCTAGGACCAATGTCACAATAAACACAAATGACAAAAAGAAAGAAAGAAAGAGAAAAAGAAAGAAAGAAAGAGAGAAAAAGAAAGAAAGAGAAAAAGAAAGAAAGAAAGAAAGAAAGAGAAAAAGAAAGAAAGAGAAAAAGAAAAGATCAAACAGCGGTGATTTTGACAAGCTACTTTTTAGATTCTCTGTTTGGATACGATAGATTTACAGTTCCT